CCCACTGCTCCAGCCAGGAGCTGCTTTCCTCCCTGCCCTTTCAGAGGAGTGGCAGTGCCACGCTTTGCAGGGACCTTCTCCTGTACAGGGTGACCTCCATGGCCAAATTCCTGTGAACATCTCAGCCTTTCCAGCCACAACTCTGCACCCCGAGTCATGTGAGCCCATCCACAGATTGCATCAGGCTGGTGTTTGCCCATGCAACCTTTGAGAGCTGCTAAAGCTGATTTTGTGCCTTAATCACAGGAGCAGATCGAAGCTCCTGCTTCTGGACATGTTTTTGCCTGAGACCATGGCAAAAGGAGGAGTTGTTTTTTTTTCTTTTCTTTTTTTTTTTTTTTTTTTTTTTTTTTTTTTTGTTCCCCTCTTCAGGTTTTGTCAGTCCAAAGGAATGTAAACTGATCAAAACAAAATTCTTTGATTACACAAAGACACTGCCACTTCGTGTAAGTGCACTCATAAAACATTCTTTTAGCTGTAAAGGAGCTAAAACTCTCCCATGTTGGCTGGACGGTGTCTGGCCATCCACTCTCAGGTGGACCAACCTAAAACTGGACCAAGAGGGCTGTAAATCAGGCTGCTCAGAACTGAGCTTCAGTTCTATTTAATGCTGCGTTAGTCCATCTCCTCCATGAAAAAACTGAAGAAAAAATAAGATGGAGCAGAAAACAAGGCATCCCTTTTGATACTTCCTGCTGCTAGAAAATAATCCAGCCCCTTTAGAGTTAGCAAATCCAAAATGGAACACATCAGTCCTGAAACTCAGAACTGCTGCAGCCCAGGCTGGAATCTGGGGTTTGGGATCAGGCTGGGAAGTGAAGCTCGATGCYCTCAGGAAGGAGTGGGAATGGACACCCATTTCCTGCAGCCGCCTTGGGTTCRTGCCCTCACTCTTTCCCACCCCTCCTCCCATTTCACTCCCGAGTCCGGGCTATAAAAAGGAGCTGCAAAACAAAATATCCAAGAAACACAAACTGCCCCCAGCCTTGAACCGAGTTTTCTAGGAGCTGCAACAACAGAGTGCTGCAAAAATATTTWTATGAGAGACAGAGAAGCACGACTTTTTCTGTCTCAGTAACTATACTTAAAACCCTCATGTATTTTTAGAAAACCAATCCTCACAAATTGAAAACTTAAAATTGTTCTCTACTGCATCAGTTTGGCCAGCTACTTATAATAGCTAGAAAATAACTTTTCTAGCAACTTCGATACATGAAGTATTTTTAAGTTATGTTGGAATAACAGAAAGAAACAGAAAGGATTCGCACACACTTTTATTTATATTCATTTCCACTTGATCTGGAGGCCTCCTACAACAACATTCAGCATTTCAAAGGCTCCAGCCAAGGCGCCAGCCCCGCTCTCAGMCTCGCCGCGGTGCTTGTAAGATCATTAGCGGCTCTTTGTAAAGGAATTATCCCAGCTTGAATTACCAGCGAAGCGCTCTTCAGACAGCTCAAAAGCATCGCCTTGGGATGCCAGTGTGCAAACACAGCCAGTGATTCCTCTGGGAATATTGTAGGGTTTAGGTCTGACCCTTTTTGGGGCAGGCAATACATCCTTTTGCTCTGCAGAAGCTGGGATTCAATACAACCGCACCGCTCTGGGTGATATTTTATTCTCTGCGTGTTATTTTCTGCTTCAGATTAGGATGTTTTAAAGATTTAGCTGCTCCTTGCATAAGTAAAAACCCCATCTGTAATGTCACCAGAACTYGCCTTCCAACAGCCTGATACCTTTCACTGTGATTAAGGACCACCATTAATTTTCAGCCTTCCAAAATTTTTGGTCAACAGAAACCAAAAAGAACTCGTTTCAGAAAAAAAAGCCACTGCTGATATATATTTTTTCCCCCCAAATTTGCAAACAAGTGTTAAGAGATCACTTCTCTGGAGCAAAAGAAAACGCAAGCCCGGGCTTAGGTACAACCTGCTGTTGCCAAAAAATCTSGTTTATCTGATAATGCCAACTCTTCCCACTTCCTCCAAATGTGCTAATTCCATGTAAATACTATTTTAATAAAACACCTGCAGGGACTAACCTGTAACTATGATCCCAACTCACAAGTGCAGTAGTATTTCAGCAGGAAAATCCATCACAGAATCACAGGTTTGGGTTGGAAGGGACCTTAAAGCTCACTCCTGGGCAGGGACACGTTCAATTAAACCAGCTTGCTCCAAGCCCCATTAATCTTGGCCTTAAACATTTCCAGGGATGGGGCATCCACAATTTTCTGTGCAAACTGTGCCTCACCACCCTCACAGTGGAGAATTTCTTCCCAATATTTATTCTAAACCCCTCTGTTTTAGTTTAAAACCATTCCCCTTGTCCTGTCACTCCATGTCTGTGTCCAAACTCCCTCTCCATCTCTCCTGGAGCCACATTTAGGTACTGGAAGGGGCTCTAAAGTCTTCAAAAATCTTCTATTCTTGATGTTGAGCAACCCAAACTGTGCCAGCCTKGCTGAGGTGCCCCAGCCCTGGCAACACCTTCGTCCCTGTCTTTTGGACTCATTCCAGTATCTGCTTACAGGTTTGTATGGTAAAGAAATGCTAATCTTGAATAAAACAAAAACAAAACAAAAAAACTCCAGCCA